CCGCACGTCTCTGGGGCCCCCTTTCCCGACACCCCGACACCCTGACGCACCGCATCTCGCATGAGCTGGACACTTGGCACTTTCATCAGCTCTCCTGGGCTGATGCCTCTGATCTTGGTCTGGCGGGTCCCAGTGGCCATGAGCTACCTTCCTACTTTCTTCCCTTGAACACCTGAGCTTCCACCTGGCTAGCCCGGTGCTCTCCTCTCCGCCCTGGGCCGCCAGCAGAGGGCTTGTGGGCGCTGGGGTTGGCCTCGCCGCCCCACCTCTTCTCCTGTTCCAATTGGTCCCTGGCCGGGGCGGGGCGGGGCCGGGCGGGCGGGGCCGGGCTGGGCCAGTCCCCGCCCCGCGGCTGGGCTCCCATTTCTCCCTCCTGGCTGAGCCGGCGCCAGGCAGATGCTGTCACTGAGGCCAAGTGGTGCACGCGGTGGTCCCCAGCTGGAGCCCTTGGCGTGCGGACGCCAGACTTGAGGGCTGCTGCTACTTCCCTGCTGGGAGCAGGGCCTAGTGGTGCGTGGGTCCCCGACAGACAGGAGACAGCCGCCTGCGACGGGGCCTCCCAAGCCCGCGCAGAATCGGGTCGAGGGCGCGGGAGCCCCACTCCCCGAAGCCACAGAGGCCGCGGCCCCTCCGGGCTGTGACTGGGAGCCCGGGGCACGGCGGTCCTGCACCTGCTTTTTAATGGCTCCCGCCCGCCCGCCCGCCCACGTGCCCGGGGCGCGGGCTCCTTGGACGTCGGCGGTGGCGGTGGCCGCTGCTTTCGGGGTCACGACGTCTAGCAAACTGACCCTGGCGTCTGGCCCGCGCTCCCAGGAGCCAAAGGCCTCCTGACTGTCACAGCCCGGGAGTTACTGCACCTGCCGCCAGGAGCTGCCCCCGCCTAGCCCAGGCCAGCCCAGCTGGAGGGCGCAGCCTGGTGGCCTCCTCCCTGCCCCTGTGGATTGTGCCGCTGGGCCCCAGGAAACCGTCAGGCGGCTCCTGGAGCTTTGCCAACGGTCGGTGGCTTCGGCCTGAGATGCCCACCCTGGAACGGGTCCTAGGTCCCTTGGTGTCCGTGCAGTTCCTGGCCCTCGTGGCCCAGGAGATCCACAGCCGGGTGCAGAAGCTGCTTCTGCAGAGCTGCGAGGAAGCTGTGCCTCTCGCAGAGTCTAGGCAGAGACCTTGGGGGCGAGGGACTAGGTCAGAGAGACAGAGCGAGCGCGGGCTCCCATCTGCTCCGGGTTGGTCCCGAAGACTGAGAGCCCGTGGACTCTTACTTGCCCATTCGTATTTTCTTGATTGGCCCGGGGAGACCTGACTTGGGCGTGTGACCTTCAGTGGTTTCATCCGCCCCTTGGATCCCGCAGATTTTCCTGGGGCGCACCTGTCTCCGCGGGGAGGCGGTGTTGCTGCTGAGGTGGTCAGGGTGCGCTCCACGGGGATCTCAGGGGTTCGCGTCCTGGCTCTGCTGGCTGCCCACTAATGGAGTGACTCTGGGCAGGTGACTGACTGTTCCCCCGGGGCCTCACAGGCTCCTGGGCGAGGGGTCCGTTCGGAGGACTCCAAGAGGAGCAGCACGTCCGTGTTGACACTGCTGGTGCCGCTGCTGGTGCGCGGTGAGTGCTTCCAACCGGGCGGTCCGGGCGTGGCGGCCGCGCCTCTGGTCCCAGCTGCTGGGCAGAGATGCCGGGCGCGGAGGCGGGGGGCACTGCCCTAGCGCGGGGGTTCTGGGCTGGCGTGCGCTCTGCTGGTCGGCTGTGTGGGCTACGTTCGTTCCCAAGTTCGCCTTCACTTGGGCTAACCTCCGCGAAGCGGGAGACCTCCGGGCTGCCCGATCCGAGGAGAGGACGGGTCTGGACGCCCACCCGGGTCGCAAGAGGAGCAGGTCAGAATTGGCCTGGGCGCCGGCAGTGGGCTCGTGCCGGTCCAGAGGCTCCGCTCGCCAGCCTGGTGGACACGGGGAGAACCGGGCTCTGAGCAGACACACTCAAGGTTAGCGGTTGTTACCTTGGGGTCCGTCAGCAGTCTGGTCCCGTCCGCAGCGCTGAGTCTCACTTAACGGTGAGCTCAGTAAAAGAGTTTGGCGCTGAGGCTTTGAGGCCTGGACTCCCGGAACGGCCCCCACCGGCACCCCCAGGTGAGCTTCCTTAGCAGTGAGGAGGGGGAGCACCCGGAAGTGGTGGGGAGGGAAAGGGGCAGTGCGGTACTTGGGAGGATCTGTGGGGAAAGGGGGCAGTGGGACACAGGTCTCCCCACCCTGTCCACAAACAATCACAGACTGACCCTCACGAACGAACGCCTGGAGTGGAAATCATCCTTTGGTCCTGGTGTGTCCAACGTGACCGACCGAGGTCTTCTCTCCCCTCTGCCCTCAAAGCCCTGCCAGAACTTCCCTGGCCATCGGGCCCTTTTCTGAGAAGAGGTGATGGCAGCTTGCCTTTGAGGTCACACACAATGGGCTGGGAACCCAAAGGCTTCGCAAGCAGACTGTGCTTCAGCAGCCGGTGGGCCCGAAAGTCCCTGTGCTTCAAGCGAGAGTGGGTGCACCCTCGGCGAAGCCCGGGCTGCATCAGCCCCTAGGGCTGGGTTCCCAAAGAACCCCAAAGGCCTAAGGACCACAGGTGGGAGGTGAGAAGGCCAGGGTGTGGCCTCACCGCAACCAGCGCAACCAGCGGGCTGGAGCATTAGCTGCTAAAGAGAGGCAATTTCTCAAGTCAGTGTCTTGACCGCGGACCCAAGGGCCTCGGAAACGGTGGTTCGGAATTTGCTGGACGTGGGGCAGATCTTTCCGTGGCGTCCCTGTTTTCAATTCAACTTTTCATTCTGACATGATTGTAGTTGACCTGCAGTTGAACAAAGAGAGAGGTCTCCTTTACCCTTCCAGGAGTTCGGCCAAGGAGAATTGCAAAAAATCTACTTCCAATCCAGCCTATTGGCATGAGGAAGGCCTGGCTCTACTCACCCGCACCCTGTCCTGCCCATCCACCCCTGTGACACAGTCCCTGATCTTCTCTGGCCTCTGGCAACCACTAATGTGTCCGATCTCCGTTTTTGTTCGTTTGTTTGTTTGTTTCTTTTTTGTTTTTTTGTTAAATGTAGCCTCCGTGCCCGTGCCCGGTGCAGAACCCAGTGCAGGGCCTGAACCCACGACCCTGAGACCAAGACGTGAGCTGAGATCAAGAGTCAGGCGCTCACCCAATGAGTTCCCCAGGGGCTCCACTCTGTTCTCCCCTCACATCATTTTGTCATTTCAAGAATGTTTTCTACATGGAATCCTATGGTCTGTAGCCTTTGGGGATGGGCTCCGCGCCCCCCAGCACAATTCCCTGGAGATTTCTCCAAGTCATTCTGTGTAACCAACCATATTTGTTTCTTTGTATGGCTGTATAGGTATCCCGCAGGGGCGTTGCAACAGTCATCCACTGAAGGGCAGCTGGGGTGCTTCGAGCTGTTGGCTATTACAAAGAGCCTGGTATGAACATGTACTTGTAATTTTTTAAACAAGAGTCATATTGGTTAGAGAGAGGGAGGGAGAGAGAGGGCGGGAGAGAGAGGGAGAGAGAGACAGAAAGCCCGAGAGTGAGAACACAGGCAGGATGAGCTGCAAACAGAGGGAGAGGGAGAAGCAGGGAGCTCGATGCGGGGCTCGAACCCAGGACGCTGGGATCATGACCTGAGCTGAAGGCAGGCGCTTCTGCGACGGAGCCACCCAGGCGCCCCCGCCGTGTACTTGTAAGTGTTATTTTTAGGATCGATGCTTTATGAGTTCATTCTGACATCTCCTTAATTCTGGAGCTAGTATCACTTGACTGTCTGTTCTCATCCGAGCGGAGGACTTCCTGGATCTTTGCACGAAGGATGATTTACCATCGTGTCCTCGCCATTTCGGAAAGTATGGGAGGAGACACCGGGTTCTCTTTCCACTTGGTATGTGGGCAAGCAGTCGTCCTGTGGAGGTTTGGCCTGCAGGTGCTGGCCTACTGTTGTGGGCTGTGGTTGTAGGGACAAGATGATTTTCCACGTCCGTGTGGTGCTGCTTCTCAATTATTTGTTTTACAGACATCTGTTCAAGCTACGTGCGGCTGGCGGTCGGGACCCAGAGACCAAGAGTTGCCTGAGCCAGGCGTTGGGGGTGGGGTGGGCGCTGGGGCCTTGGTGGTGCTCCTTTGGTCGCCTGGGTTTATGCTGCTGCTGGGACTTCCACTTGTCCCTGCGGATCTTGCTGGAGGAAATGGAAGAAATCTCCCCAGGCCAGGCTACCTGAGGATTCTGGGTGGGGCAAAGGATTCCGGTGCCTTCGGGGCAAGCAACGTTTCCAGGGTTGGGAGCTTTGGGAGGCAGGATGCCCTCTACCGGTGGAAGAAGGGGACCATTCTGGGCCAAACCCTTGGAGCTTGATTCCCCGCGTCGGTGCCCGCGGGCAGCAGGGCTTCTCGGGGCGGGGTGGAGGAGGGCACTCTCGGGCCCAGCTGGGAAGGACAGGGTTGCTGGGCCAGGCGCTTTGTTGTGCTGGGATCCCCCTTGCTGGAGACCCATGGTTTGGGCGTGCCCGTGTCGGAGTGGGGGGGCATCTCAGGCTAGGTGGAGAACGAGGGTGCTTCCCAGGCGGGATGCCCCTTGTGGTGACATGTCCTTTGCCTGTGACCCAGTGACAAGGTGTCTCCGTGTCAGCAGGGGAACCTCGGACGTTGGTGGGGAGTGGAGTCCTCTTGGTGCTTGGCGGAGGGCCCGCTGGACCATAGGAGGCTTGGAGCACTGCAGGCCAGCGGGGAAGGGACCTGTTCTTCCTTTACTGTGTCCCCATCATTCCAGGTACTGTTACCCCTCCTCCCCCCGACAGTTGCCTTCTCTTTGGAGACTTGAGTCCTACGGGGCAGGGCCCAGGGGTCGGCGAAGGCATACCACGTGCTACTAATCCGCAGGATGCTACCCAGTAGGGACGCCGTTGTCCTGGGCATTTCTCTCATCTCCATCATTAACTGTCCCCTGACTCCTCTCTTCCTCCCTCAGGGGGCCTCGGGGGACAAGATGATGGATCCGGGTGGTGTGCAAGGTGCTGCTGCTGTGTCCCCGCCCCCCATCACAAACACACCCCGCGCCCGCCGGTGCCCTTCCTCCTTGCTGCCTGCTCCTCTCCTAGGGGCCCTTGCTCCTACGTGCACCTTCTCTTGAGACGGTGCTCGCAGCACGATCTGGATGTCATGTGGCCTTGTCTGGGATCAGGTCACCCTCCGCCAAGTGGCCTAGTAGCCTTGGACTCAAGCCTCAGCTGGCAGAGCTGGAGGAAGGGGGGCTGCACCTCGGTGGATGTCCTAGGGTAGAAGGAGTTGGAACCGGGGAGCCCCTCGCCCCCATTCACACACTCAGACTCCACCTCAGATCCGGCGCCTGCTCTAAGGTATTGACTCCTAAAACCTCAGGGCACTTGTTCTTTTGAATTCTCTGAGCTGTCTCTTCTCCGTTCGTATCTTGAGACCGTACTCCAGTGACTCCCATTTCAGGGGACTTGGCCCAGTGTTCCAGCTCACCCGCTGTCAACGGGTCTAAAACATACAGCAAGGAGCGTCTGGGTGCTCAGGCGTTTCCATCGAGCGTGACTTAGAGGTTTGGAGATGTGGAACCAAGGGCTCTATCCAAACGAGCAGGTTGTCTTCATAAAGTACGAGGCATCGATGCGATGAACTTTTTCACAGAACATTTTTAAAATGCCCATAAGATATGACAAAGAGCTAGCGGCTGGCTCGTGGTGGGAGGGCTAAGAATGGGCGCTGCGCACTTAAAAGGTGCTCCCTTTGTCAAGAGTTTATTTGCCTCTTAGTCCTCTCTGCACTGAACGAGGGGCTCAAGCTCACACCCCTGAGTTCAAGGGTCACACCCCATTCCTTTTTTTCTTTAATAAAAAGATTGCATTGATTGATTCATGAGAGACACAGAGAGAGGGGCGCCTGGGTGGCTCAGCGGCTGAGCATCTCCTTTGGCTCAGGCCGTGAACCCGGGGTCGTGGGACAGAGCCCCGCATCAGGTCCCCTGCTCAGTGGGAGCCTGCTTCTCCCTCTCCCTCTGTTGCTCCCTCTGCTTCTGCGCTCTGCCTCTCTCTGCCAAATAAATAAGATCTTAAAAACATATAAAACCGCAGGATGCATGAGAGTCTGAGCTTCACGCCAGTGGGCTCTGGGCTAGGGGTCCTAGCCTGCTAGGAAGAAGTCAAGGACATAGGGGTTCATCCCCAGAAGCCACCCACAGGCAAAAGCAGGAAGGAGCAACCGTACTGGTTACCAGAGGCCACAATCACCTCCCTTACCTTGCTGCCTTTCTGCCAAAGCCATAAAGCTGCAGGTCCTGACCTCTTTGGTAGTTAGCAGAAGCTGATGAAAGCCATGGAATCACCTCCCAGAAATACAAACCACACACACACACACACACACACACACACACACACACACATCCCGCGTCAAAGGTTTACAAGATGTTCATGAACATCCAAGGACCCTCTACGACTGTGCTGCCCCATACGATAGTGCACGTCCCATGTGGCAGTTTCAGTTTAATTAACCCGAAAGATTCAGTTTCTCATTCCCACTAGCCACATTTCAAGTGCTCTAGAGACAGAATTGCAGGAAGTGCTATGGGACAGCTCGGCTTTGAAACTCCACCGGCCGAAGGCTAAGGACCCCACCCCTTATGCGAAGCCCTATCCGTCTGGTGGCGTGTAACCCCACTGCCAGTCTACTGAGCGCCGTCTTCCGTTTCTGTGTAGAGGCGCGCCACCGAAGAAGTGGGGGTAGCGCTCACACCTCTGCTGAGCAACCCTGAAGGTCCAGGTGGCCCTGAGTGACCCTCGGTCACCTTCCGCCACGGGCATCATAGCTGCAGCCATGCCTCCAAAGGCTGCAAATCCACAAGCCTTCGTGCCTCTCCGCTCAAGGGGTGCGTCCTTCAGCCAGCGTCAGCGTGACGGGCCTCCTGCTAGGGAGGGGCATGCGGGGCTTCCTCGGGGGAGAGAAAAACAGACCGCAACAGGGTGGGCCACCGGCCATCTGGGCTGCGTGAAGAACGAAGGACACCGACCAGATCACGCTCCTCCTGCTGGGTCCAGGTGCTGCTCTAAGCCTCCTTCCTAGGCATAGGTCAGGTCCCCCAGCCCTCACCCAAAGCTCAGAGGTGGGGGCTAGGATCATGCCCGGAGTACAGAAAAGGGGCCTGAGGCTTGTGGCTCAGGAGCACTGACTAACTCTTCCCAGGTCACACAGAAGATGCCAGAGGGGTATGGCGACCGGGCTAGAGTGGATAGCCCCTGCAACGCTCACGTGTACCAACATCCAAAGGTTCTTAGTGCAACGTCTGGGGCCACGCTGGTGGACACAGGGGTGGTCACGTGCACGTCAGCACAGGTCCCGAGACCTCTACCGCCCCACACCCGCGCCCCCCACATGCTCTCCCTCTCTTTGCTCACAGCCCTGGGGTCCCCGGCCTCGTCCCTGGAGGGGATGAAACAGAAAACGACTCATGACTCTTCCTGCCCAGTCGTGGAAAACGGCGCTGTTCCCACCCCATCCCTGGGCAAGCTTCTTTGGAGGAAGAATGATTTCTTCCCTTGAGGGAGGGCGGGGTGGCAGAGGGAGAGGGAGGGAGAGACTGCCAAGCGCGCAGTCCCGGGCTGAGTGGGAGCCTGAACTCAGGACGCTGAGTCCAGGACCTGAGCTGACCCCAAGAATCCCAAGCTCAAGCCACTGAGCAGCTCAGGCCCCGCCCGCCGCCCTGCCCCTTCCCCCCGCCCCCCCCCCCCCGCCCACCTCGCGGAAGGTATCTCAAAGGACGCCCAGTGTCTCTCCTGGAACCGTCAGTTTCCCCAGGTTTCCCGCGGCGGCGGATGCAGCTGCACGGAAGCCACGGGCAGCAGGCCGGCCTGGCCCAGAGGCAGCGCTCCTGCAGGGGATTGCGAGCGAGCGAGCGAGCGAGGGAGCGAGCGCCCCTTCCTTGAGAGCGTGCGCGGTCGCCCGCCCTCAGCCCCGAGCCTTCCTCGCGGCTCCAAGGCATCCAGGGAGCGGGCCGCTCGGGCTGTGGACGTGCCCTGACCGTGCTGGGCCTCAGAGCTGGCAGCCCTCCGCACACGGGCCCCAACCGTCCAGCACGACCACCAGGGAGGGCCCAGATGGTCCGGCCGTCCCTCCATCCGCTCTCCCGCAGGGCAACCTCACTGCATGCACCGCGGCCGGCCGGCCGGCGCTCGCCGCTTCTCCCCAAAGCCGCCTGAGCGAGCCCGCGCTCACTCGGCCCCGGGATAAGAAGGCTGCGTGCAAAGCGGGCACGCACTCGGGGCAAAGCGAGGGCGACGCGTCTCGGGAACGTCCAAAATCCGGTCACCAGGCAGCTGCCGGGGCGCCGGGGCGGGTGCGGGTGCGGGTGCGGGAGCGGGCGCGGGCCCCGCGCGCTCCCCACCAGGATGTCCCAGGGCCCCGACGGGCGCTCCTCGCCCCAGACAGGCTCGGGAAGGCCCGGCCTGGGGCGCAGGGAGCGGCGGCAGGGAGTCCGGCGGGCGGGACAGGGGCGGGCCGCGCGTGTCCTTCGTCCACGCACCCGCCGCCCATCTTCCGTCCACGCGCCCGTCCTCTGGCCACGCGCCCCCCACGTGTCGCTCGCCCTCGCGCCCGCCGTGCCTCGCGTGCCTCGTCCACGCGCCCATCATTCTTCCACGCGCCTGTCCTCTGTCCCCGCGCCCCCGCGTGTCCTTGGTCCCCGCGCTCGCCACGCGTCCTTGGTCCACGCGCCCGTCGGTCCTCTACGTGCCAGTCCTCCGTCCTCGCGCCCGCCCCGGGTCCTTGGTCCAGGCACGCACGCGCGCGGGGAGCCGCGCCTCCCGCGCTCCAGGGCCCCACGCGCCCTCCGGTGGCTCAGACAGGTACTGCGTCGGGGCGCACCGCTTTGCCAGGCCAGGAGGGCCCGCCCTGCGGACTCCAGCTCCTTGGCAGGCCCTGAGCCTCCCGCCCCGCCGTCTGGGCCCCGGACGAGGCTGACGTGGGTCGGGCCTCCTGCCGCTTCGGAAGCGTCCCCGTTTCCGGTCTGAAGCGCTTCCAGAGCCCAGGGGCTGCCTGGGTGGCACAGCCCCCGTTTTTGATCCTAGCGAGGCCTTCTCTGCCGTCTACCCGAGAGGAACCGGAGCGGTGGGGACCCCCTTGGACTCTTCCGCCCAGGTCGCTGATTCTCAAACGTCCCAGTGCAGGGAGAATTTCCTGGGAGGCCCCGCACGTCTCTGGGGCCCCCTTTCCCGACACCCCGACACCCTGACGCACCGCATCTCGCATGAGCTGGACACTTGGCACTTTCATCAGCTCTCCTGGGCTGATGCCTCTGATCTTGGTCTGGCGGGTCCCAGTGGCCATGAGCTACCTTCCTACTTTCTTCCCTTGAACACCTGAGCTTCCACCTGGCTAGCCCGGGGCTCTCCTCTCCGCCCTGGGCCGCCAGCAGAGGGCTTGTGGGCGCTGGGGTTGGCCTCGCCGCCCCACCTCTTCTCCTGTTCCAATTGGTCCCTGGCCGGCGGGGCGGGGCGGGCCGGGGCCAGGCTGGGCCAGTCCCCGCCCCGCGGCTGGGCTCCCATTTCTCCCTCCTGGCTGAGCCGGCGCCAGGCAGATGCTGTCACTGAGGCCAAGTGGTGCACGCGGTGGTCCCCAGCTGGAGCCCTTGGCGTGCGGACGCCAGACTTGAGGGCTGCTGCTACTTCCCTGGTGGGAGCAGGGCCTAGTGGTGCGTGGGTCCCCGACAGACAGGAGACAGCCGCCTGCGACGGGGCCTCCCAAGCCCGCGCAGAATCGGGTCGAGGGCGCGGGAGCCCCACTCCCCGAAGCCACAGAGGCCGCGGCCCCTCCGGGCTGTGACTGGGAGCCCGGGGCACGGCGGTCCTGCACCTGCTTTTTAATGGCTCCCGCCCGCCCGCCCGCCCACGTGCCCGGGGCGCGGGCTCCTTGGACGTCGGCGGTGGCGGTGGCCGCTGCTTTCGGGGTCACGACGTCTAGCAAACTGACCCTGGCGTCTGGCCCGCGCTCCCAGGAGCCAAAGGCCTCCTGACTGTCACAGCCCGGGAGCTACTGCACCTGCCGCCAGGAGCTGCCCCCGCCTAGCCCAGGCCAGCCCAGCTGGAGGGCGCAGCCTGGTGGCCTCCTACCTGCCCCTGTGGATTGTGCCGCTGGGCCCCAGGAAACCGTCAGGCGGCTCCTGGAGCTTTGCCAACGGTCGGTGGCTTCGGCCTGAGATGCCCACCCTGGAACGGGTCCTAGGTCCCTTGGTGTCCGTGCAGTTCCTGGCCCTCGTGGCCCAGGAGATCCACAGCCGGGTGCAGAAGCTGCTTCTGCAGAGCTGCGAGGAAGCTGTGCCTCTCGCAGAGTCTAGGCAGAGACCTTGGGGCGAGGGACTAGGTCAGAGAGACAGAGCGAGCGCGGGCTCCCATCTGCTCCGGGTTGGTCCCGAAGACTGAGAGCCCGTGGACTCTTACTTGCCCATTCGTATTTTCTTGATTGGCCCGGGGAGACCTGACCTGACTTGGGCGTGTGACCTTCAGTGGTTTCATCCGCCCCTTGGATCCTGCAGATTTTCCTGGGGCGCACCTGTCTCCGCGGGGAGGCGGTGTTGCTGCTGAGGTGGTCAGGGTGCCCTCCACGGGGATCTCAGGGGTTCGCGTCCTGGCTCTGCTGGCTGCCCACTAATGGAGTGACTCTGGGCAGGTGACTGACTGTTCCCCCGGGGCCTCACAGGCTCCTGGGCGAGGGGTCCGTTCGGAGGACTCCAAGAGGAGCAGCACGTCCGTGTTGACACTGCTGGTGCCGCTGCTGGTGCGCGGTGAGTGCTTCCAACCGGGCGGTCCGGGCGTGGCGGCCGCGCCTCTGGTCCCAGCTGCTGGGCAGAGATGCCGGGCGCGGAGGCGG